AGGGCTTCCCAAGTCCTGTATCAATAAAAGTTAGCATGTATTCACAATAGAAGTTTGACCAAATTTAAGCAAGAATGGGTTCCACATATATTATATATTATGCAGCAAGACAAACTTAAGCATTTAGAGTATGGTTTCCAAGGGGAAAAACAACCAGTCAGAGAACTGAAATAAGAAATATATGAAAACTTTAAATGTTTATAAATACTGTATATCAGTCTGAGTAGAAAAAGGGGAAGTTAGAAACTAAATATTTACCTTTAATATTTTTAGTAGTTTTTCTTCTTTTTTCTGAATACCTTATATGACAATATTTAAAATACCTAATACCTGCCAATTATTTGTTTCTTGCTTCTTTAATCTCATTTTGTCTAGAGGCCAAACTACCTAAGAAAATTGAGAGAGCCACGATAGGACATTATTTTGATTTTTACCTGTGTTTTCAAAGCAGAGCAAGTGGTAACTTTGATCAGAATGGGAAGTTTACACTAGAAAAGTGATGCAAAGAAAAAAGGTCAAATCCTCTTGTTTCAGCACAAGGCTGCAATTAGTAATGTGCCTGCCAGCAGTAAAAGCAGAACTCTCACGAGTTGGATGTCTCTTATTTTATGTAGTTTGATCCTAAATGAAACCACATCCCTCTAGGTTTCCTTTTATAATTTGCTGTTCTGAATATTCTATGAACTGAATCTTCCTCTTTTGCCAAGATCTTTCCTAAATTACCTAAATTAAATTAGAATGGTTAGTTTGGGAGGATAAATCTATAGCCATAAATACACATATATTATTTACACCTATAAGTAGTTTTGCATCTAATTTGAAGATAGGGGTCATTAAAACAATGGTTATAATCAGCTTGTCACATTGCCCTCTATGTTTAGAGATATCATGCTGTATCCATGCTAGTGGTAAGCAGAAAATGATACAAAACATCAGAAATTTGTCCAGTTATTTTGACATAACATATAAACTGACAATATTTTTTTCTAAGGCAATGTAACATTAGATGAAACTTTTGTAACCTGGTACCATCTGGAGGCACTGAAAGACAATTGAGCCCACTTGGTCAGCAGCCATGCTGGTTAGGAATTCAACACATCTGCAGAGGACTAGCTTACATTAGATGGACTTGGTTAAGCTAAATGGAATACTTTATCAAGCTGTATAATTTCTGTTCCTTATAATAATTGGGCTTTCAAGTGAGCCACATGTCAAATGAGAGTGGATTTGCTGCAGGAACAGCAGGAACATGAACCCCCAGTTGTAAACTGAAGTTGAGAATGTGTAAATTTATCTCTTCATCTGCTGTTTTTAAGAACTAGCCCTCAATCTTAGAGTTAGTAGTGTTTGAACTACATGCATTTATTAACCAGCAATATACTGATTGGCAATGTTCCACAAATAAATTGGCATAATACCATTAAAGCATGAAAAAGAGAATATAAAAAATAAAATGACTAGTAAAAACCTGCTTTTACTGAGGGAAAAAAGTGAATGCAACTAAATTGAACAGAAATGTCTCACAAAACATTTCCAGCTAAGTAGTCTGCTGTTAAAAAGACCCAACGCTTCCTAGTTAGTTTTAGCTGTAAATTTGAGGAACTAATGATAAATTAATGGGTCATGTATCAAACCTGACATAATGAAGCAATAACAAAATTAAAAGGCCAAATAGAACAGTTAGAGGGCAAAGATGCCATCTTGTGGTAGAACAGAATACACAACAGACAAATATGAAATGGCTGCTGTAGTGACCATTAACAATAAAGTCTGATATGCTCCCAACCAGTCACTCTAACGTCATAATCCTCCTTCCTGTTCCAGAACATGAATCCATATGCTCAAAATCTGTGTTTCCAGAAGCTTGCCAGAGGAGCAGTTTTCTCCTGCCTAACAGTCTTTGGATATGTGTCAGAATCCTCGCAATCAATTAGCCAACTTGCTAGGTTGCTTGCTTCCTTTCTGCCATTGTAGATGCGGGGGGGTGAGGGTGCCAGGTTGGGAAGGAGCCGTTAGAAGCAGATGGGCTGTTATCGGGTTCTCAGGAATGCTCAAGGTCGTTCCAACGGGCGAAGGAGAAGACGACTGGGAAAGCTGGCGGGGGGGCGGGGCGCGCACTGAGAAAGGGGTAAAAGTAACTTTTTGGCACGCGCGGGCTTAGTCTTAGCAATTCTTGGGACCTGTACACTATCTCTCAATAAATGAACTTTTCTTTGAATCTACATCGGTTTCACGGAAAGTTTCTTTCATTGGGAGTTGAAGGTGACAGTTCGTTACAATATGCTAGAATTATAACCTGCAAAAATCCGTGTTGTGCAGGGAGAGGCTTTAATTATACTACCACCTTCAGGCTGCAATCCCATAAGCATTTATCTTGAAGAAAGTTCTGCTAAACTTAAGACATTTGAAATGTTAAGGACATAAACAGTACAGGCCAAAAATTTATGCATATAAGGATTAATTACATGCATTCTGAAAATCCACAAGCAGGATTTGACAGCCTTACCATATGGAGATGGCAAAACTCATTTCATACTGAGACTAATATTCATATAAGGGAACCCAAATTTGGGAAGACATAAGCTTTCAGACAATACATTTCTGTATTATTACTGTAATAATTAAAGTGGCTAGGTTTTGAGGATGGCATCGCTGAAATGCAGTCCATAGACTTACATTAGGATTTGGGCTTGAATTTCTTAAATTATCATCATGTTTTTAAATTTTCATCTACAGTAATGAGGGAGGGAGGGAGAGAGAGAGAGAGAACATTTTTTAAATCCAGGAGTTACTAAACCTATTTTAGCCTATATAGTTTTTATGCATATTGAAATCCTATGCACCCTTATTTGGGAATAAAACCCTTAGCGTACAGAGCTTCCTTTGAAGAAAACAGCCACAAGATTGGACAGCAAAGCATCTAGCAGCATAACTACATCCAGTGTAGTGTGTAGTTCTCCTCTTCCCTCAGATCTGTCATGCATATTGGCCACACAAGCCTCAGTATTCAACCTAAGGGATTCTGCCCCTGAACCGCCATTCCCTCCTACAAATTCATGTTAGTTGCTCCCTTGCACCAAGAAAGCCCAGGCAGCAACTTAGTATACACTCCTTGGTTTTTGTCTGTTTTTTGTGATAAGCTTTTTTGTGTTGTCTAGGAACAGTTCTCTTACCGCATTGTTTTCATCTCATCCTTTGATTAACTATTTTTCTTTTTATCGCTATTTTTTTCTAACTAGTATTTATAGTGTTTAAAGTATTGTTATTGGGATTTTTCTTGGATATTTCTTAAATTACTGCTAACATATTTTGTGCAAATGTTTTCCCTCAGTTGCTTAATATGAATGTCATATTATGGAATGTCCCATAAATATCTTCCATAAATATTTGCCGAGACTGCATTGTTCTGAAACTAGAAATACTGTATCCTAATTTCCAGACCGTCATAAAAGAGAATCCAAAGTATTTATGACAAAGAACATCAGTGAAACAGTTATTGTTCCTACTTTCCTGTCATCTCATGTTTTGCAGATTTTAAAGCCTGCAATGTCTTCCTTTGGAAAGGGTCATTGTGAATTACCAATATTTTTGTATGATAATTTATGCTTCCAACAAATATAAAATACCTGTACTATTTTGAATTGATTGTAGCTCACGCTTTGTCTTAGCTTAACAGGAAAAGCACAACAGATCTGAAAGCAGTGGACACTAAGTTGAATAAATGGTGTATCACAAAGTCTGTTGTTTGGTCTTGATTTCTTGCAGAGGTAGACACCGTTTGAGAGGGTAAGACCCCAAGTCTCAATTTTACCATATTTTACAAAATATGGCTGGTCCTTTTTGCAGTTTTGGTAGCAAAGTAAAGATAAGAATGGAAACAAGAGTCCTCCGGAAGTCAAATCATTTTGATTCCCATCAGTGCACCCATCCAACACTTAATTAAACAGCCTAAAATTGCAGCATGAATTTTTGATACCAGCATGCTTTGGAGCAATTGTGTGTTTGTGGGGTATTTTAAGAACAGGAATGGATATGGTTTGCCTTCTGGAGTCCACTTGTCACCATTCCCATTCTTAATCAGGAGGGGGGCAGAATGAAAGAAGTGTGCAGCTGAAAAATCAGCCATTTTGCCACTAAATGTTGAAAGTGTAATCTCATTATACAGGTTGCCCACAATCAATTCAAGGTTTCATGCAAACATTGTATTTTTATAACCTACAGTTTATGGTTTAAGCTAGCAAACTGTGATTTACAGCATTCAATGAGCCATAGTTAAGCAAATGATAACTGTTTTATGCGAGCACAAAGTGAGCAGAACCATCTAGTAAGAAGCACTTTTTAAATTGCCTAATCCCATAGTAAAGGGCTTTACAGGTAAGAAACATGCCATTCACTAGGTTCATGCACTGAGCTAAGACATAATGTGGTTTGTTTTCAGTTTAGTACCTGGTATGAACCCAGCCAACTGAGATTTGATAAACCCATGACTTAGAATAATGAACCCAGCCTTTTAATTTATTCAGAAATAAACTAGAAACCAGTTCAGATGAAGTGGATTTGAAGCAATATAACTAGAAGAACAATGTTCAGTTTGGTTAATTGCCATTTGGGTCAATTTATATTCCTGAATACAATAATAATAATTCAATTAACATTATTTCCTTGGGTCCAAACCTAAAAAAATCACAAGTCTTTCATTATATATTATCTTATATGGACTATGGTATCTTATTAGTTGAATACAATTGTGAAGTAGCATTGTAAATAGTATGAATATTTAATGAACAAATCCAATCACATTTAAAATATACAAACTATAAAATGTTAAATCAAATTAAATCAAATATGTATTATGGCCATAAGACTAGCAATCAGAATTTTTTTTTAAAAAAAGCAAAAATTGAGATGTAAAAAGAAAATTAATACAAATCAAATCAAATCGCTTTATTACAGCCATAAGGCCAGAAAATAGCAATATAAAACTTAAAAAGTAAGGGAATATAAACACACATACACACACACACACACACATATATATATAAACTACCAAGTAGTATGTATAAATATAAGATAAATGACATAGAATAAGTATGAAATATAGAACATAAAAGTACAGGGATAAAAGTACAATGATAATAAATAATATAAAATACAAGTAAGTAAATCAATCAAAATCTTCAACTACAGGACAAATAGCACACATAGAGGCACAAAACTGGGCTACCTGGGAGGATATATTTGGGTTCTTATCAGATAGGGGGAGTGACAAATAGAAGTTGTGCTCTCTGCCTGGAAATGTTTTCAGGATGGAGCGGATGAGAGTCATCCTAGAGTCCTATAAAGGGAACAACGGAGGAGCATATGGGTCAAAGACACTATTGAGCCATCCCCATGTGGGCATAGGCACTGGTGCACTGGAGTATTCTTATAGTGTGCAGAGGATTGGTGAGAGCAGTGCATCTAGCCTGGCTAAGATAAAAGCCCTACGAAATTTCAATATTGTGATAGATGATAAATAGGCGGCTGGTGCAAACCCTTTTGGAAGAATTTCCCCAAATTATAGGAATAGACACTAGGCTTAGATTAGATTGAAGACCCGTGTCCCAGATTCATTGCTTGTGAGTGCATCTGGCATTTGCAAAGCCTAAAGAGCAGAGGCTCTCCATTGAAAAACCCAACAAATGGATTTTATCAATAGCTTTTTAAGCCACATTGATTTAAAGTGGTCCCTAAGGACCAAAAGGACCAGACCTATAGAGAAGAAAATTAACTTTAATCAAAAGTTGACAAGTAAAAACCAAGATCTAGCCTCCACAGAAACCAAACCCATCTCCAAATGTAAAATGGCATTTTTAATACATTTTGTGAAAAATGGCTCTAATAAACTTAGTTCAAAATATTGAAATTGGTGAGGGTGCAGATTTGAGTAAGGTAGAGAAGCTAAGGGACAGTCTTGTCCAAGAACATCTTACAGACTACAATGAGTTTTGAATGAAAAAAATCTCCGAATATTTAAGTATTTATTTAAATTTATTGGCCACCCAAATCCAGTGGACTCTGGGTGGCATACAAAACTAGGGAAAACATAAAAACAGCTAAAAACATTGAATAGCTATGGAGCTATGCTGAGCACCAGTAGCCTGATAGGAAAAATATGCATTCTAAGGTAGAGAGGTATGAAACAGCACTCCAAGGTATTTATGCTCAATTGGAGTCCCATTAATTTACCATTTATGAATTTTATGATGGTGTCAAGCAAATACTAGAACACTGGTTTTCTGTTAATTAATAAATTATATTAATATAAATTATATTAATAAATTAATAATGCAAACAGGGAGCCTGGGCACAAATAGAGTATTTTTCAGCCAGATGATGGCTAGACCGACAATGGTCCAAGGTTGATCTTTCCTTTCTTATTACAAATTTTCCAGACCCAAGGGAGGCGGATAGTACATATATAAATGCAGAATTGGACATCCTGACAGGATATATCCAATGGTCAGACACGAGAATCTATATCTAAACAAAGTGGTGTTTTTAATGCATTTTGAGACTGCAAGAATAGCACTTGGGAACTTAGATTGAATAGCTTCAAGGACATCAACATTTTTAAAAGAGACTCGGATACCATAGAGTAGCTGGGAGATGGCCTTGGTTATGAAGACCTTACAAACTGCAAAGATAAAATGGGCTCCTTTCAAGTGGAAAAATCTCAGGACAGCTAAGGAGCTATGTTGACCAACACTTGCCAGGTGTAAAAATGTTTTATCCAGGACAGTGAGCCTGGAACTGTACTTCTGAGTATTTATAAGCATGTATCTAATTGATGGCTTTCCCATTGGTTTGCCAATTATGAATTTTATAATTTTACACAAAAAGTATAAGCTTAGTTTGTTAATCAACAATTATTCCTCTGAACAAAAAGAGGCTGAAGCCTGAACATGCCATCCTGTTTGGAAATTAAGAAAAGCAGACAGCAGAATGGACTTCATAATAAAGTGTCAATCCAATTCTCTCAGAATAGCTGTTGCAGTTATTTTGTCATCTATTTATCTGTGCAGGATATCTGAATACACTCCAGGGTCCTCCTAACAAGCCTTTTACAATGATTTCTCTTTATGGTGGAAACAAGTAGCAAACTCTTTTATAACCTTTCAAAAGTAACAGGGCTGTTATTATAGCACATTAGAAAAAAAAAACAGAAAAATATTCACCCCATGGGGTATTATCACTCCTGTGTAAATTTTTAAAAGCTTTCAGCACAGACAGTACAAGCAAAGTACATTCTAACACTTGGCACAGATTTAGTTAATCTCCAGTGCAAAAGGGCAAAAAAACACACCCGCCCTCCAAAAGTCTGTGCTATTAATCCACGAAAACCACAATTAAAATCAGTAAGTTTTCATGCATGCATCAAGGTTATCCTTGATGAATTCTGTCCACACATCTTGGAATTTAGATTAATATATTTAAAAATGCACTTATGTCCCTTTCTGTATTTATTTTTAAACTGAATTGATATATTCCAATCATTAGGTTTATAGAACAATCCAGTACACGCTAATGATTAAGACTTACCCAGTGCAGTGAGGCTTATTCCCATGGAGCCATTTCTAATTTAACAGGTGGAACAAGAATGGGAAGCATGCCGCAATTCCAAACCCCTGCCAGTAACAGGCTTATAAGGTACCAAGCTTTTGTTGCTTTTATAAAATGTATTATATAAGCTATCACCTTATATGGTTCATAGAGACACTATTTAGGCTCCCCCTAACAATGATGATGACAACGATTAGGGATATTAGCCTAATTAAAATTTCATGTTTTTAAATAACAAACAACACCCTCACAATGCATTTTTTAATACTGATCCAGATCAGCACTGTGGGAAAGAAAATGCTTGAAGAGTACAGGACAGTTTCATCTCTGTTGATATTTCGAAGAACAGTTAAATCCTGACTTTTCTATAGAATTTGGAGATAAAATTTGTGTGAATTTACCTGTTCTGGAAGTATTAAGTGGATTGTTTATTACTGTATGATATTCTATGGTTTTAAACCTTATTACGGTTAGCTACTTAGTCTTTGTACTGAAACAGTGAAGCAGTGTAAAACCTCTTGTCAATATACAGATTTTCTGTTTTATTCAACCTATCCCATTCTATCTATACAAATAGAAATAACTGATATCTGAATGTCCATGTATAATACACATACACACATAAATACCTTATGTATCAAATTATAGCTTGATGAATAGTGGTTGTTTTTTCCATTTTTAAAGAAGAAAAAATAAGGACAAATCAGCATGATGTGTTCTATTTAGATGAACAAAATGTGCTACAACATAATGAGAGATCTATGATGACTAATCCCACCTAGATTTATTTGGAACATAAAAAGCATTTTAATGTGGCAAACTACATGTAGCTTCTATTCAACAGAATAAAGTAATGAATAAGCACAAAGACTTACAATAAAGCTTTACTAAATTTTAAATTCCAGTTCAACTATAATTTCTTATTTGTACTGAAACATTTACATCACTGTATTCAAGTATCTTAATTTTTAAACAACATTCTTGATATTAGAAAACAATTCTTCCTAAATACAATGACAAACCTTTACATTGTATAATGTTTGCTACTTTATTTTCTAAAATATCTAGTATAGTCAATTTATTTCTATTCTTTCTTTTAGCTTAAGAATTTCTTGCCATATTAGTTTGAATTACTGGAACAGTTACTTATTCTTGAATATTTCAAAGTACGGTACAAAAAATTCATTTGAACAACACAAGCTAAGAAATATGTATGGATGTGGCCTCAGCCAGTATATTACACACACTGTATCAGTATCTCTAACTAGCAGAGAATTAAATGGCTGCTATAATACATAGAAGATTCAAGTGTAATGCCCTGAATCTTTTTGGTATCCAAAGCCATCATCTTCTCCACAAAAGATTAAATACATTCCAACTTAAGCTGCCAAGCCAAAGTCAGAAATTGTATGTGATATATAAAACAACAGAAAGGACAAAAATACAGACAAGATTATTGGAATTTCAGTTATTTACAATGTCTGAGATTACAAATATCATAAAAACACCCACGTGTATATTTACAAGATTTCCTAGAAATTTCTTCAACTCCACAGAGATGTTTTTTCATTTCTCGGGTGCCTGTATTCTTAACCAGAAGACTGAGTAAAGTTTTATAATTTGCAACTGGACTCTTGTTGTAATCTCACAATTTTACAAGAGTAAATAATACAATTATGCAACAATATTAATGTTAGCAATAATCATATTTTTTCAGCCAATATTGTGAAGAGATGCAAAACTTGATTCCACTACAGATAACCGTTGTTCCAATGTTTTTAGTATTGTTTCTGCCTGTTAAATAAATTTTTAAAAAATTAATTTAATATATTTAAATTATACTCTTCTACTTCATCAGTACAATCAGAGGATAGCCAGAGTGTATACTATCTTTCACTCCCATATCTTATAACTGATACAATAGGGATATTCTGTTTGGAACTACATGATACATTGGTCTCAAACCAGCATTATGCAAAGAGCTTGAGCAGTTGCACGAATAGATAAAACTAGTGCTAAAAATATGTTTAATCAGAGAAACAATTATATTCTCATACAAAAGTACACAGGAAGAAACAAAGAAATATATGTCTTTTCTACCCAAATTTTCCCTTAGCTGCTACTGACATAATGATTTTACTTCTGTATGAATAGAAGATTTTAAGAAGGAATTAATCCTAATAAATCTAAATAAATAATATGAAAGGCAAAATATGAATACAGAATAATTATCTTACCCTTCCTAATGATTCTTCTAAACTAGCTCGACTTTCAAGCGTGAGAGGTTCCTCATCAATGTCAGCTTTCTGGTCTGATGACCCTAGGGTGTAACTTAGACATTTGTACAATTATAAGTAGCATAACAAGCATTTATGGGAAGAGTCATGTCTGCAGTACTTATTGCAGTAAAGTCAATCAATGGCAATAATGCACATACTGTTTATAAACCAGTTAGTTCCCTCCCAATATTTTACTAACTACTGACTAAGTATGTGCATAACTGACCTACGGAATTACAACCAGAAAACACAAGGCTAATTACATAAAGTTGGCATGTTGATATATTCTACATATATGACAAGTGAGAGAACCAACTTCAAATGAATTCCCAGTCCCACAATGAGTGCTCCTCTTCAAGGCTCAGGTCAGCTTAAAACAGAAGTATTGTAGGGGAAAGAGAAGAGAACAAACCTCATTTTTTAACTTCTGTAGTACTAATTATTACTAATAATACTAATGATTCTACTTATGAATTCAAAATATAAACAAATAATCAACTCAATCTCATTTTAAAAAGAATAGCCACAAGACCAACCTATGTAATATTCTGTTTTTTTCCTGTAGGTCACTAAGAATATTTGATTTTTGTTGGCCAGGTTTTTCTGTAAATACAGAGGAATGATTCCCATCCAAGTATGTAGATATTGTGGGAGAACAGTCATGTTAACCTATGGTGGCAAAAAAATCAGGAGAAGTGTAGTAGCATCTTTTCCAACTAACAAATTTTATTAGAATTTATTACAATTTTATTAAAAGGGATAAGATTTTGTGAGCTGCAGTTTAATGACATTAGTTGGAAAACGTGCTACTAGACTCATTTTAATCCAAGCAGGTAGAAATCATTTTCTCATTTGCAGATGGCTCTATTTTGTTCCCAGATTGACAAGATTTACGACCAAAAAATTCAAAATTAGAAGGAAAAACCATGGTGATTAGAATCTGGAAGTACCAAGTCTAAAATTAGAACTAACTAAACAACATATACACAATGTCAAAAAGTTTGAAGTACTAATATAAATATGTGATGAAGCACAGTAACTCTCATCTCTGGAACTTATGTCTATTTCAACTGACTTATTTTTTCAAAGAGAGATGGATATAAATATTTGAGGGGGGAAAGAGAAATGAATAAAATCTCTTAACTGTTGCTTGAAATCAAACAAAAATGAGGGCCACTTCTGATGTTTTCTTCTTCCACATAAAAAGTAGCAGCATAAAGAATAATGCTTCATACATTTAAAGAAAGAAACAAGTAATAAATAATATCCCATTAAACTTGAAACATTCCATTTGCCCTTCAACAAACAGTCTGTAATTGAGGAAGTTAAATCTTCAAAGTAACCAACCCTGCTTAGAGATTATAAGGAAAATGTGATTAACAAGCTCTATTGTAGGATGTCTTACCTTTCTAGGGAGTCTATGTTTAAGCAAAACAAATCTCGTTTATAGTCAAGATGTCTTGGGGTACATCTATAAATGTTTCCAAGGTTCATGTTGCAGCCAGAGCAAAACAAGGTTTCAAGCATGCTGTAAAGCAAAACATTGGACTTATTTTTAATAACATGCTTATGTTCTAATTTAGAATTTCCTGCACAAATGAAGCAAAAGTACAGAGATTTACAAGAGAAAGAGGTATAATCTCTACAGACTTTATCCTCATACATTTAAATGCTGAGTTAAAGGTTTGATCATCCACTTTTCCTTCCTCTTGCCTTTTGATTTTTCATTTTGTCTGATAAAGTGTTCAAAAAATGAAAAGTTTATGTACTATTTTGTGATCTTAAGTTGGTCTTACATAAATATTGCCATATTACCAGCTTGTTGGGTTCAGATAAATTAAACAGTAAGTAGGAAATCTAAATATAGTCACTGTTAACCTACAGGGGCATTTCAAGTGAAAACAAAGATTTGATGAAAAGTAATTAACTACACAAACATGAAGCTCAGCTACAGGTCAGTTCTAACTTTCATTCTGAAGTTCTTATCACAACTTACCAGCCATATTCACCTGCCTGGCTTGAAAGTTTTTGCTCTTTGTCTACTGAGACATTGAGTGTAACACCTAAAATGTGAAAGATACAAATCAAAGTAGCAGGAACAAAACGTTCTCATAAGAAAACAGGCCACTTTAACAAACCAAAGAACACCGAAAGCAATGTCAAAATAGTATGATAGTTTTCTGCCTAACAAAGATAAGAAAGCTTTTGTTTTAGCAACTGAAACATTTATATACCATTCTGGGGGGATAAAAAGCACCATTCAATTGAACATGTAACATAGAAAACTAAAGTTGGGTTAAAAAAAATAATACGATGCAGTTCAAGAGTGTATGCAGCCTAAGCAACAGATAAAACAGCTATGCTGGAGATTAAATTTGTTGCAAAAGATCACTTCACAAATTCAGCAGCAGCAGCCTGCAATTTATCTTAGTTTTGGGATACCCCAACTCAAGTTCAACAACTGACAAACATTATCAGGTTCTGATAAAAAAAGAACCCTAAATAATGTTTTCTATGAAATCTCGTAGTCAAACCTGAGAAGGAGAGAAGAGTTTAGCCCAGAACAAAAAGGGCAGCTGCAGACAATGAGCACCACCACGTTACTTGTTAATACAGAAGCGCAACCCCAGAGACACGAATGGGGGGATTCTTTCGCCAGTGCCTCGACCACAGGCAGGCTGTGCGCGAGTCGAGGCGCGGAGCGCACGCGCGGGAAAGGAATTTCGAGCAAGAGCGCGCAGTGTTGCTAGGTAGCCGCGCGCGTTTCTTCCACTGACTCTTGAGCAGGATGCAGTTGGTATCCTCGTCGTTAGTCTCCCAGCTGAGCGTGTCTCCTACAGGCCGTTTACATCCGGCGCACAGGAACACCATGGGCAGGTCCTCTGCACCCGGCCCTTCCTGGTTACCAGGCCCTGGACTGTCAAGGGATGCTACCACCGACTGAGAGCTCTCTTCAACCGGGAGTGCCGCCATTTTTTTTCAAGCCACCGCGCCGAACTCCGCCTCTCTCGCCTCAATACCGGAAATAATGGGCGGCGCCTCTCTAGCACCCCAACAAGGTGTTTCTCTTTTTCTTTCCCAAGGACAGGAGGCAGAAGCAGTCACGGGGCTGGGGAGGGGTGGGAGGATTTGTACGCGTGCGCAGGAGGTCACGCGCCCCAGCAACACGGAAAGACCTCCGTTGGCGGTGGAAGTGCTTTGAACGCGAGGATTTAGGGCTGAGATTGCTAGTCTGCCACCGTGTTTCGTCTGAGGAGCAAGAAATATGGACTCCAGCTACATTTACTTCTGAATCGTGGCTTGCATTTAGGCTGTTCTATACTGTACTATAGTACAGTACTGTATTTTTTAAAAAGACTGCATAAATGTACAGAGGCTTGTGATAAAGCCTAAAAATGTATTATTGCATAAGGTTTTGTGAAGCACTGTTTATGAAATATGTACGGGAAATATTTTCTCTTTATCATTCTTTACTTCATTTTAGAACAGAAATTTTACTTAACCCATATCTGTGCCATATGAATATAATACCCTTGAGAGTTTCTAACAGCAGATGCCTCTTAGACAGCTGCCCTTAAGTGTAATTTTGTTATCTATTGACAATAGGTTCTGTGGGATACTCACTTCACTTGCTGCGTGCGTTGGTTGCTCTATGTGTTTGGCTTGAATAAAAGGATTTTTTACAATCTGGTGACTTTATAGTGAACCCTCGCTTTGAGATAGAGTTATGGGGACCCTGTTGGGCCAGCAAATGCTGCTGCACTCTCAAATGTTTATACTTCTTTGGGGTGCAGGCAGATGAATCACCCAAACCCAAGATGAAGTTTTTAATAATAAATCCATTATGCAGTCCTTGTCCTCTCTTATCAAGTAATTTTCTTTCAGAAACTTGTTGGGAGAATGCACTTGACAAGCAGCATCTGATATTCTAAAATGAATTAAAATAGTTGTTTAAAAATCCTGGATGCAAGTTATTTATTGTTTGCATTAGATTACAAACAATAAATGAGAGGGAACTATGGCTAGTACTTAAAACAAGGGACGATCACAATCATTTTAGCACTTGACATCGTCATAGCAGAAATGAAGGTCAGCCTGAATAGTTCTGCTACCTCAACATATCTAAGGATCTGTCAAATGAAAATTTATTTACACAATTACAGCCTGTCTTTATGGTGACACAGTAATTTTGTGCTGGGTCTATTAGAGTCCTCAGCTACCTTGGCTGTACTACTGAAATGGCTAATGCAACAAATTATACTGTGCCTTATGAATATTATCTGGATTACTTTGATCTACCTCCAGTTGATGCAAGTAAGCTGAAAGCCAACAGATGTAAGTACTGCTGTTCTCTCCACTATGCAGAAATACTTTATTCTCCCTTAAATGATATAAATAAAAAGCCTTTCAGATATAAATATTTTATACAGGATAGGATAAATCTAGTTCAGGGAAACCTTAAATTCAATAGTTTAATCTCCTTCCCTGCCTTCATGGAGGCAGCATTCAGATTTTTGATGGCCAGTGTTACATTTGGAATACAAAGAACTGGAATCTCTGCATGTTTTATTTTTTTAAAATAAAAATGTAATTAATTTTAATGAAATTGGATCTAGAAATATGTTCTTCTAAAAGTAACTGAATACAGACCTACAACCTTAGTTATGTTTAAAGCAGACCTATTGAAATCAACATCTAACTTTTGCTACAGCTACCTTAATTCCCACTGATCTCAAGAAGTCTACCGTGAGCCAGACTAAGTGAGGATGATAGTTTCCATTCATAGTGGAAATGTTGCATACCACACTAAAGCTAACTAATCTCTTATTGAATAATTAAACAATAAAGGTCACATGTATTAAATGTATCTAAATATGCTGATTAAGCAGTATTTTTATATTCATTTGAAGAGTTCTAATTTATTTTTCAACAGATTCAATTGTCATAGCCTTTTGGATTGGGCTTGTTTCTTTTGTGGCATTTCTCTTCTTTATTTTGTTCCACATGTCTCGATCTGGTACAACATCCATGAAGTGAGTGAAGTGTTTTTTATTCTACAAATGGAAAAATGGCTAAGTTTGTATAGCTCTAGAAGAGTGGTACACACTGAAAAGACTGTGTGGCCTTAACTCTTACATCTGATTTAATAAACCACTGGATTTAAAGTATGGAACAATTGACTAAATATAGTCAGGAGAGTTCTTAATGATTTGCAAATTAGTTTTTCTGAAAGTATCTTTTTCAATACCCTAAGGATGGTAAAATCATTTTGATGCTTGGAGTATTTAAAGATACAAATAATATATAAATGGCATAAATTTATTTATTCATCACTTACTGCATTTAGTATCTTTGAATAATTGAAATGTGGCCAATAACCAAAGAGGTTTGGTGAGCCTCAAGAAGATACTGAAGGGTATCTACTGAATACTGCATACCTATCAGATTCCTATAAATCTCCCCATCCTCCCACCCCTGCAAATCTGGCAGGTTAGATCCAAATTTATTTATTCATTTCAATTTACTTTAGTTAAAACTAGTAAGTTCCATTGCTGATGGTGCGTTTTTTAATCTTGGCTCTAGCTTCTGTATTTATTTTATTTATGTCATTAGCCATTAGTGTTTTTTTACTTTAAAGATTACACCAATGGTTTACAAAACTTCTACAAATGGGTTTTTACATCAGTTTTTTGTGGGAAGAATGTCTGCATGTCTACTTGGAATTTATATATCTTATACATATATAAGTATCAGTTTGCAGAATACATTGATCTGACAACCTATCTCAGAAAATGAACAACAATTCCATACAGATAAATATTGTATTGCTGGTATTGACCAAATAAACATTACTAGTAGTAAATATTGTAGAGAAAGATAATGATTAAAAGCTGATTTAGCATTGAAAACATGCTACTTCAAATCCACGCTGTTATAAGGATCAGTGCGATTTGAGCCAATGAATTTATTACATGAACTTTTGGGTTGGTTATGAGTTATTACTGATCTCTATATTATCGATAATACTTTAAAGATAGTCAAACTTAATTTAGCAATTTTACTTGTTCCCAGGACTAGAGGAGCAAAGAAGATGTTTCCATGGAATTATTCAGAAACTATTCATCAAAATCTTGTAAACGACACTGTACGAACATCTGTAGATAATCAAGGAGAAGAAATTGAAGGGCTCTGTTCAAATAATAGGTTACCATGTCACAATATGAACAATTCAGTTTAAAATTTCCTCACAAGTGAAATATGAAGTCCACTATATATTTCAATATATTACAATGTGCTAGAAGGAGTACCTTCATAAAAAACATGTAATCGTTATTTTTTTAAAAATGACTTCGGCTTATTTGCTATAGAACAATCACTGTAATATCTAATACAAAAGTGTAGATTTACCAGAAAATAAATATGTAATCCATAATTTAATTCCTAAAAAAGTTATCAAATGTTTTATACATGGATGAAACAAAATCTCGTGCATATTATATATATAGATTAGTAGCTCAAAGTTATGCTTCAGAATCACTCAGGAAACTGCACAAAACCAGAATCAGATGCTCTACTGAAACATTACTAGACACATTTCATTATTTGTATTTTTTACACTATATACAATGATTGTTGTTAAAAAATGGCTGAATCTACCGATTGACTTTCATTCCTAATTGCAAATAAGAATGTAGTGACTGAACAATATTGAAGACGTTAAAAATTAGTCATGTCTAAGATCCAGTAGCACAAAATACAGTGGCTCTATATTATAAATTATTCACTTTATAAAATACAAAGATTTCATGCACAGATATATATATATCCATCCAACATTAAAGTCGCACATCCCTTTGTTTGTACAGAGTATATCATGTATTAGAAGCACCATTATTTTAAAAAAGTTAAAAACATTTTTTTCTTTTCTTCTGTTTCTGCAATGCAATATATACAACAGACTTAGCTATTCAGTTAGCCCTTGTGTTAACAGTGCTGGGCAAAGTTTTCCAATGACAGGTATAGTTCATTTTCTAAAAATTATTGGAAATATAATCATCAGGTTGGATCATTTTTTTATATTCGGTAGCAATGTTGCAAAGCTCAACAATATTGAAAAATAATTTCTAATAGAATGAAACAATTTATAAAAGTTTAATTTCCTTTCCATCCAACTTTATTATTATTAAAGCTTATATCCCCACAAAGTACACTGGACCAGCTTTGTACATGTTAACTGCTCCAAAGACACTTGACACTTCTAATTGGAAAATACACAGAATTCCTTCTCAGAAGAACAGCTAATTAAGCTGTAAGAGTGTACCTCAAAGTCCAAAATAACTTTTGTATTTCAAAAGTAAATCTGATGCAGAATTTAATTCAATTTGGAAACCATTTAAGGATTATAATTCTATATATGGGGTTTGTACCACATCCAAAATTTCAGTTTCTCTTAGCATACAGTGTTAATATTCTAAATTTCAGCAATCTGCTTGGATAGAAATTACTATAATTCTTTATGTTACTTTATGATTTATACTGTGCTGCTTCTTGCTGTTATTTATATATTACTTGGATTTTAACTACGACCTGCAGTTTTTCAAAACATGTAGGATACTCTGTTCTATAAAACTAATATTGAAAATGTTTACCTTAATAGATTTAGTTTTAGCCAACTCAGCATTGCTTGTAAATTCCTATGATTCACTTCATGGGGTTTTTTGTCCCCCCCCCTTTTTTTCTTTTGTTTTTTCTCAAAAATGTTTAACAAATATATAATAAAAGTAACATATTAATTCATAACATGTGATGAAGTCAGATTCATTATACTCTTACAGAAGATAAGCAAGCACTTTTGTAAAATAATTTGGCAGATAATTTCTTGTAGTATTTTGGATAACATAAATGCATATGGCAGACTAGCCTGGTAACATGACAAATAAATATAACGCAAAGTATAATCCTGGCACTATTCTTGTCCTGTTTTCTTTCAACCTTTTCTAGATCCAGGTATGGGACTTGTATAAAGCCTGTGCATTGTGTATCTCTGGATTAAAGGAATTGTTTTTGTTAGTGTAGCTGAGAAATCACATTTAGCTGAAGCAAATAAAATATTTTTTTCTGTATGCAGTATTGTTCTGAAGTTTTATCTTACAATATGGACAAGGTTATAAGCTTTCTAAAACAGGATAGAATTCCAACATAAAATGAATGCTCAACAATAGTTGCAGTATTTACATATGAAATTATTATACAGTAATATGATTAACGAAACCTATTTCAAGCATTGGTTACTATTCTTATGAACAGTTCAGTAGCTTCAAAGAAGGGAAAACTTTTAATCTGGAGTGTGGATGTATGTATATTAGGGCTGTGCATGCTCCAAAAATAATTCAGAAAGAGACTGTCATGTCTTTTCTCAGGCTTCCACATGATGAACCTGATAGAAATATACTGGTTTTTAACAGATCACCTCATTAAAGCAGCTTCACCTTTTAATGTGATTCATTAAAAGAAGCCTGAAAAGAAATTGCATTTGCTTTAAAGTGGCACTGTTCCTGTACTCCTGCATATTCCAAAGCACCACTTCTAAACCATTTTCAAAGCATACACAACTCTAATGTATATCTTTATTTCACACAACAGTAAATATTATTCCATGCTATTTTACTGCAAAATTATTAACTTCAAGCCAAAATTATTAACTTCAAGTTTTTTTCATTGTTTTTCAAGCACCCAGGCACTTTAAAACATAATATATAAAAATAGCATCTAAAACCAGCTTTGCCAAATTTTGAAAAAATATAAAAGTTTATTTGAAATCCAGCCTTACTTATACAATTGTACTACTGTTAATATGAAAATAAGCATTATATTTGAAACAATTCCTGTGGGCTTTTACACAATGGCTTTTAATTTTTAAAATTTCAAGGTAGAAATTGACGTTTAAGACTGAAAGGGAGAATGAAGATTTAAAAATGAGTATATGTCTTTGCAGAGAGAAACCATCGAGTCTTCAAATTCTGGCCTCTTTTTATCATTTCGTTTGGTATCTGTTGCTCCACATATCAGTTTAATGTGCGTAGTAAACATGTCTGGTTGCTTTGCTCCTAGCCAAATGTCTCCAATATAAATTGAAGTAAGGAAAATGCTTGCAGCTAGGAAAAAAGAAAATGATAGTTACACACAGGGGTATGCACAACATGGGAAAATGGTTTTGTTTCAAACTCAAAACAACCCAATCTACTGCAGAGGTTCTGCCATGGTTTGGTAGGCCAAAACTCGTAATGCTTTGGTTCTTCAAGGTTTCATACAAAGCAAAATTTAGATGTCCTGTCCCCCTCCCCTTCACCTTTTAGCAGTTCCCAACCCAGCATATCCCACTGGCCTGCTCCCCAATCTTCCCAGTGCCTTCCCCTTTTGGCCTCTGCTGATGTCCCAGTATGGCATATGTCACCCAGGAATCTTCCCATCACCGTCCCTCCCCTCAGCTGCTGATGTCTTGGCTTTTCACGTGCATCCCCCAGACTAAATCTGCCCTGACTGAAACAGCACCTTTTTGTTTTGTACTGAGAACAGATTGCACAGAGATTGGTTTGAATATTCCAGATTACAAGCACTCAAGCACATTAAAAAAAATGGACTTATAGATTTAATTTAGTCTGCATACTTTAAAATTAGAGACTTTTTTTTAAAAAAAAGACTGCAACAGAACATCTCGTCTTTCAGCAGAACCCACCCACCCCAATTTAAACTTCAACCCCAAAACAAATATTTGAATAGATACTAGAGTTATATTGCCTTGACTTAAAAATAGCAGAAAAACTGTAATACTTGAAGGTTCAAACTGTTAAACATTACCTTGTATTTTTACGAATATTAAAGATAATTTATATCACTGAAACCCAATGTTCTAAACTGTTACTTGCATTTTAGAAACTTCCCCTTGACTATAACCCATCTTCTAGAAATATTAATCTGTATTAAGTTACATAGCAAATTTCAAGGAGCATAACAGGCTTTTCCAATTTGATGACTTCTAATCATAACTATGTTAATAATTTGAAGTTTAGCATATGTCAAAGGCACCATGTAGAAAAAGCCCAGAGTATTTTTTGGAAAAGAAGAAGAAATTACCTCTGTTCACTTCTGCAACTTCAGTGAGGCAGAATCTTTTCACAGCCCCATGAAAATTATTTTTTGTCAGGCCCTGAGATTCTAGTAGATGGAGCATGATTCCATTAAGCACAGAGAGATCATTCAGTTTCACAACTTTCTGTTCAGAGGCATTACAGATGCTACTATAAAGCTTAAATATAGCACTTTTCAGTGCTCCATCTTTAAGAATATGATCCAATACAATGTTGTTTCCAAAACCACATTTTTTAAACCACCAGAAAGTCAGGAGTGCATTCTGAATGTTCAAGTTGCCATCAGTGAGGGATGTCACGAGCCATCTAAATACTAAATAAGCAATCTTGCATGTAAGATCTAGATTACTATATCCTTTCTGTTCTGTTGGAGATTTCGCTGGTATTTCCAGTAATAAGGGTTCCCAGTGGATAAAAACAGATCTCAGAAGAGTTCTGCATTCATTTAAATAAACTTCTTTCCACACAGAGACTGCAGCTGCCTCTATTTCAATTTCACTCTTTCTCTGAGCAAGTGGGATTGATGCTTGAGAAGGTAACCGTGGTTTGCTTCTGGGTTTATTTTCTGCAGTAGATAAAAGCAAACAACACTTTTATAAATAATGAAACAAGGGTAATCAATGAAATGAGTAAACAGTACTAAGGCGAAGAATAGATGGATGTTGTCAAGCACATTAGCTTCCTAGTGGGTGTGCTAATCATCACAAAAAGTAGCAGATTAAATATTAAACAAATCCCAGCAAGTTAACTATTCCATCTCAATTACTTTAAAAAATGTTAATTAATATCTAACTCAAGATCTCTGGGACAGCACACATCTTTCTACTAAGTGCAGTAAAAATATTTGTACCAAATATTATACCCAGTATTTATACTCTGTCTTTAAAATTAACATCAATGGAAGCAGTTTAGCTAATCAAAAGTATGTTCTTGATTTACCCAATATTGAGTTGTTTTATACACTGGATTCATACATATTCTCATAGTATTTTAACTCCCTTACAGTTTTTCTCTAGTTATTCCTCTCTCATCAGGGAATGTGATTACATAGGGATATCATTTCCTGAATTAATCTTTGACAAACCAAAGATAAGCACTGATGATGTCCCTATTCATGTTATATAAAAAGCTTTTGATACTGATTTTCAGTGAGGCTGAACATGAAGCTATTCAAATTAATTTGCCATCATGAATCAAGGAGATGCTTTTCAGACATATACCTGCTGAGTTCAATATTCTATA